TTCATGTTCTTCCTAGTAGAGTCGCGCACCCCCTGATATATTCCACCCAATCGACATGATCTCTTCAGCGTAACACCCTGACCTTGCAACAGATGTAATGGCTGATGCCTAGTGTGGCTGCAGCACAGCCTCGTAATCTGACCCTCCCGTCGCGCTGACTGCCTAATCGGGGCAAGTGTTTGTCGGATATGGCCGAAACATCAGCTTAAATGTATAGTCGTAGAGAATACTATAAGAGTTCTTTGTCCGGATGGGCGCTTGTCTCACCCCATATTTCACTTATTTTCCACGTCTCACACGCCCCACAACCTCGTGGCATTGTTCCTAGACACCGTCAGCGACAACGCTTCCCCAAAAGTTATGGCTCTCAGAGCCAACCTCGTCAAGGGTATCGCATCCGGCATCGGTCTAGCCTCGGAGAGCATATCGGCCTATAAAGCAAGTAGAGAAGAGAAAAAGGCGAATGCATCGGACACAGATAATACTGTCAGAGAAGCGACTACAGAGGATGCCGTCGAAGTCGAGCATCTCATCAACGAGCAGCACGAGGAGGAATGGGTTCTTGACGAGGCGCAAGATGAATTAGCTGGGGATGAGCACCGTGCCGACTCAGAGCCTGCTGGTGGTGATATCGAAGGTTTAGCAGTTTCGTTTCTTCAGAATTATCCCGCTCCACCTCCGTACGCCCCCGCGTCGGATTTGCCCAGACTGTCTTGTCCTGTGGTGCTGCCTCAGCGAAGGCCGAAGTCTCGCAAGCGAGGCTTCATTCGAGCCTATGCTCCTGTTATGGAGGACTTTGGTATCGACAAGACTATGTTTCTTGGTTTTTTGGAGACGTCGAACCGAGCATGCCAGGCGACTCCGTGGTTGCAAGCTATTAATTTGGCTTCTATTGGGACTATGTTCATTCCTGAGCCTATTTCGATAGCTGTTTCGATTTTGATACAGTTGGCGACTGATGTGGCTATGGCTGTTGATGGTAGGAGAAGGTAAGGCTTGTGTGGTAGGGTGTGGTGCTGTTTTAGGTGATGCTGATGCATAGTATATAGGACGAACAAATTCTTTGACAAGATCAATGATGAGTTCTTCCGCCCTCGTGGTCTATTCTGTTTGGTTATGACATGGAAGCCCGGGTCCGACTCGCCTTACGCTACCTTCGATATGAACTCCACGATATCCGCAGCCATCGAGCATGGTGGAGCAGGATTGATGAACAAGGTTCGGCATAGACTCAAGTCGTCGGATGCTAAGACGCACGGCACTTTGCCCTTCTCGGAGTGTGCCCCTCTTATCTTTCCCGACCTGGATGAGTTAGCAGAACATCGAGGAGACAATCAGTCTAAACTGAAGGGTACGAAGCGAAGAAAGGAGTTCGTCTCAGATTACTGGGACCGGAGGTCACAGGCCAAATTTGTATGTCATCGGGACCATATACTAGTGGGTAGTGGAACTGACCTGGGGGTTTTAGATGATGAAGAACCCCGATAGTGCTTTGAGCCAGGGTCATAAGCCAACGTTCACATCACGTTATGCCGACCCTAGCCACCCTGCCAGCAGCGGCTCCTTGGTCGGTCTACTTACGGGTGGACATATGACTGGTGAGAGATTGGTGCAACTTCGAAGTGGCGGAAATGGAACCGATAGAAGAAGAGGTCTCCGCAGGCAGTCAATTGAATCGCCACCTTTGTCCCTTGGAGGGCTGGCGGCTGGTATTCGTGCAGCTAGGCTTGGACGATTACCGATGGAAGATCCACAAGGGCAGGATGAGATGCACCGCGAAGAGAGTTATCAGCATTCACCGACTCATACTTCGTATGGCGGCCAAAGCGTTCCTGGTCGTGGACGTGGAATCAGAGACCTCCGCCAGACAGGTCCTCTAGGAAGTCCCATTGGAGGAATCAAGAAGCTTCTGAAAGAGGTGTGTATGATACCCTTTCCGATGGCTGGCAGATACTAACATGATGGCAGAACATTATTTATCTCATGATTGTCAATATGCCTTCGGAGGAAGACATGGAGGAAGCTCGGCGGATGCTCCAGGCGTAATCACTGTTTTGATTCTGCGTCGATCAGTCGCTTCATTCTTTAGCGGGACTTGGTAATTCTGCTGCTTTATTGATCTTTTTTGGTGGATTTAGCGATGCCAATATAATAGCAAAGACGTGCAGAGTAGTGATTCAGACTGGTTAGGGTAATGAGTACCTGCATCGTTTCAGTTATGGGATGCGACTCAAATGGTTCCTTAAAAGCCCGGCTTTTAGTTGTCACACAAAATGGCAGAGTATTAGCAGCGATTGATGATCAGAGCATGATAGGTGAGCGATGCGCTTCTGATCAGCGAAGCATAGCGTCCCCTACTTCGTCACCCGCGCTTTCAGAATAGCTCATCCAGTGGCACCTTTGATCAAGGCCCATAAGCTTGCTATTGCGTCAGAGAGTAATTACCAAAATGCAGGTCTATGTCAGCCATGTTCTAAAAAGCCGTCTGCGTAGAATGCATGGGACGCGGATCATGATCAAAAAACACGAATTAAGCTGAAAATGTGCCAGCTGGTCGAGACTTTCTTTTATAGTATTGATACTGGATGAGCTAGAGGAAGTGCGAATGGAAAAACTGAATTGACAAATAAATTGCCTGTGTTGCGGTCATATCACGCCAACAAAGAGTATATAGTGTATGTAGTAAGTAGTAAGTAGTAGTAGGTATGGAAAATATGCAAAAAGAAATCTCCCCGACTGGGAGTCGAACCCAGGTCTCCCGCGCTTGTTCCGGAAAGGGATTGACAAGCGGAAATCATGACCGTTAGACCATCGAGGACTTCTTATTTGCTGGAGCTTTATTTTGCTTTATGTTCTTGGCAAATTACTCAAATGACTCGGGCTATCACGCTCAACGAGGCAGCATACCACCACCCATCTACAATGTACGTTGTCGCTTGCGTTCATATAATATGACTAGAACCTAGAGTGTATCTACATCCCGTATTCATGATCTAGGTGTCTCTGTAATCACCCGAGTATCTCGTACGTGACTAGTACTATCAGAACCTGCTGGTATGGTTGCCGGATATATATAGTGGCAACCCTAGCCGCGCAGCGATTGTCACGATGCAGTGGATTCAAGATACTGTTATCGTCATAATACTAGAAAGACACCAATCCACAGCATGAGCTATCTGTTACTTATGAAACTCACTCAAGTTGAGGTCAGAATTGGTGAGGTTTGTCAGTGAATACCCCTGTCACATGAGTGTGGCCAGGCTTGCGTTCTGTTCCTTTTACTCTAACCGCCACCCCCCCCCTCCCTGTTTCCCCTCTCCCAAAACACTCTACTGTCATCCACGGAACTAATCGGCTACCTAATTTCCTCAATCTGGCCTAGACCTCTTTCCCTGACTATCATCTACGATGACGGAGAGTAAAGCTCGGAAGATATTGAGGTCGTTGTACCTTGAAGTGGTCGGAGGAGAGCATAGTACACCTTTCGTCTCTAATTCGCCTGGCTCACAAGGGGACGTCATGCCGCTGTTTCTGCAAGAGCATAACATATCTGTATTTTCTTGGGATCTTGATTCAAGCTCTGAATACCCGTCATCTCTACCGTTCGTCCCGCGGTCTCAGTCGTTTCTACAAGCCCACCCCACTACCTCTCATCTTCCATTCCCCGAGTACATCCCACTGGCCGACAGAGACAAGGCTCGGAAAAAAGGGTGGTTGGTGACCGACGAAGAGAACTGTTCCTATGAGGCTGCTCTTTTTTTTACCAAATATGCCACTGCCAATCGAGTCTTCCACCGTCCGTACTCATCACTGATGGATTTCTGCGAAGTACGCAAAATGACGTGAGTACCATATATTCCAGCTGGATCACTGGTTCAGTCATTAAAGCATGCTAATCTTTAGGCCACCGAATCCTTTCATGAGTTACGCTACACAAATTGGACCGTGTCCATCTACAGGACGCTGCTGGGGCATCCGTCTTTTCCTTGAGCCTCAGATTCGCGATACTCCACCACTTCCCCATATTGCTGCAGTGGCTTACCAGCCAATGAATGCCAGAGATGGTTCAATCTTGGGTGGTGAGCTCGTTACAATCCTCTCAATCATGCGTAGTCGCGTCAAGGAGTTTAAAGTGGAAAGTGAAGAGATGATAGAAGATCTATCTGATATGAATAAGCAAGAGCTTGAAGATCTTTCCCAGAAGAGTCCAGCCTTCCCAGATGAACAGAAGTTTCCAGTTCTACTTGTTTCATTTGTGGGGCCACAGCATGCACGACTGCTTTGTGCCTCCATGTATACACATGCTCTGATCATTCACGTGTCGAAGCTTTATAGCTTCGAGAGAGAGCAGGATGCTCCGCTCGATCTATTCATGTCTTGGCTGTTTGCGCGTCCTGTGGCGGGAGCCTGACAGATTGTTCTTAAGGGCATTTTGAATTTGAATCTCCTTATTATGGACTAATTCAATGCATTGTGCTACGTTGCTTTGGTCATTGCGCAGTAGTAGCTGGTCATATACAATAGAAAGATTGGGGCGGCGTCGTCCGGCTGATTTTGGGACAGTACTCATTCAGGAGCACTTGTGCGGATTGGCGAGCATATTATATGCGGTGACAGTAATAAATCTTCTATCGGAATCTTCTTCTTCGACTTTGAAACTGATCCACAATGCACAACACAAGCTCGTAGGGGAAATCACGCGCAGACAACAGCGTAGACTTGAAAAAAAGATAATCCGATACCCTCTCACATCGAGAAGACCCAACCTACATCTGGTGTAACGAATGAAATGTTTTTGGGTCTTTTGCTCTTCGATGGTCCAATACTATCTTCACTAGAGGTTGGGTTGAAAGGCACTGAGTAGGATACAGCGAAAGAGAAATGATACTTTTACATTCCATCTACAATTACTCTGTCTTCCTCCTTTTATTTAGAATGGCTGGTTATTTGTGGGAGAAAAAAAAAATAAAGTGATAAAGAAGTGAGATCTTATCTGCAGTAACTTTCCCTTTGTTGCATTGGAGGGTCTCTAGAAATGATTATGTTAAATCAATAAAAGTGCAATAACAATCAGGGCATAGTTCCTCATGTCGTTTGGCCGGCATATGTCCCAGGGGCCAAAACGGCGCATGTTCGCGAACCCAGCTCTGGAGAGACAGCCCGCGCCCCCCCCCTGCAGATACCTCAACCATCCATCATCGTAAGTAAAGATACTAATGTAGAGCTCGGTACCATCCTTGGACAAGAGTACTCGTGAATCAGCAGTCCCCGCTGCCGTAGGAAAGCTTTTTATCCAGGCAATCACTTCCGCGACTTCTTGCATATCCACTTTCGGCGAGTGATTGTCCCCCCAGGACCTTTGCATTCGACGAGTGCGAGAACCCGGCCGGTGACAGCATTTTCCAGCTGCCCATCTGTGTAGGACACAAATTTTCTTTCGCGCTGCGGTGTGCTGAAGTCCGCCACAAGCTTCTTGCGTGTGAGCGTCCATAGGCGTTAAGCAGGCTGCGGGCCCAAGTCTGAGATGGCATTCAAGAAAGATAGAAAAGCAGTATTGACTGTCGACTCAGATACACCGCAATTGATACCGTTAATAGTGAGGTTACGAATAGCTTCTTGCTGTTGCATGGCCATAACCCTAAACAGGCGGTCTGTGCCACCCCAAACCCACCCAGTCGTCTGCGCCTGCCTGTTGGAGAAACATGCGATGTATTCATTGAAGGAAAGGGAATTTAGCCACTGAATGGCCTGCATCATATGATGCGAAATCCCAAGGTTCTGGACATTCAGCTGGTTTGGCAGTACAATGGGGGGAACGAGGGTCCGAAAGAGGAGATATTGTCGGAGGCTGACTTGCGATGCCGAATATATCTTCACGTTCATCCGGAGTGTCTGCTTTGCGACTCTTTCTCTTCTAGCTCGGAGTTCCCAGTCAATTTACTGTCCAGGAAGGACGAGGGCCGTCATTATGACAATATGAGAGAGTATACACAAGAATGAGTCTCATGATCTTGATGATGAGATGTGGGATGTAGATGACTGGGGATGCGAGGCTCAGTGAATACTCGCAGTGGTACAGCCCTTCTTGTGTTGTGGGAGAAATTTAATTCGGTTTGTTTGATTCACTTGCAAGCTCTTCGCTTCTCGTGTTTCCTTTTACTTTTCTGCCTCTTCTTTCTCTCCTTTCCTCCTCTTCTTCTTCTCACCACAACCTGCTTCCATCTCAAACGGCTCTGCCAACAGGATTAGTTCAGGTTTTATCTTTTCACACGTCGACAATCTCGTTTTAACATCCTCTTCTCCTTGTGTTTCCTCTCCCTCTCTCCACCCCCACCTCCCTCCCTTCTGTCAACCTCCCCAGCATTTCGGTTTCTTCACTTCGTCGGAACCGTCGTGATGGTGGTGCCCGAGTCTGGCGACGTCTGGGGTCCGCCGGCCCTCTGACCGTGGCAGCCGAGACGAACAATATTCCTTGGCTAGCAACCGGAGAGGCCAAAAAGCTGACCACCATGAAGACGTTCTCGCCCTCGCCGGCGCGGGCCTGGCGAGCCCGCCAGGAGGAGGAACGACAGCAGCAAGCGAGAAGTCGAAAGGCTCCTCGAGGATGTTGAACTTGCCCGCGGAAACCCGGCCCTGTCGATCGACAAGGGCTTAGTGGATGCGATGCCTGGTCGACTCGATCAGGATCCGGCGATGGATGTCACCTTGCTGAAACCTTGATTTTACCCTTGGCCTGTGTCGAACTCGAACAGGCCGAGAAGTGGTGCCTGGTCGATCTCGATCAGGTTACCAATGGGTGCTGGTGCCTAGGTCAACCTTGATCAGGCTCAGCTTTCGGATATACTGCTAAAAAGCCCCTAGCAGTTTCAAGATGTGGTACCTGGTCGTTCTCGATCAGGCCACCATTGGGTGCTGGTGCCAGGTCAAATGCGATCAGGTCAAATTCAATCAGGTTCAGCTTATATATACTGCTAAAAAGTCCCTAGCAGCAAATGAGACCGGCTTCTGGTCGATTCCGACCAGCTTCCCTGCTCAGATAACTCCGCTGCACAAAATCCCGAGCAGAGATTGAGGCCTGTATTGACCCGACCAGGTCTCGAGTGGACAACCAGTGCTTGTATCGACTCGATTAGGTTACTGGTGGGTGCGGGTGTCTGGTCGATTCCGGTCAGGTGCCCAGCGATTTTCCCTGCTGAAAATCCCTGGCAGAGACTGAGGCCTGTGTCCTTTTTCGATCAGGTGGTCAGTGGGTGCTGGTACATGGACATCCAGCTATCTTGTGTCTCTGCTAAAAATCCCTAGCAGAGCATGAGTCCTCTATCGCATTGATCAGGGCTCATGTTGGGCACGGCGCCTGGCCTATAGAGTATATGCGAGACTCGGGCGCAGTAAGGGAGCCTGGCCAATTGGGGTCAGGTGTCCTCGCATTCAAGGGCCTCCTTGATGACCTACAAAATCCCGAGCGGAGCATGAGGCCTGTATCGAGGCTATCAGGTCTCATGTAGATGCCGGGTGCCTGGTCGATTTCGGCCAGGCCTCCAGCGATGAGCTCGCACCTCACCGTGGTGCTGGAGTCTAGTAGCCAGGGCGAACTGCCTATGGTGAAGCTAAGACGAGCTCTCTCTTACCAATATGATCAGGATCACCCTCAGCATCTGTGTAAGAGACACAATGTTGCTCAAAGAAATGAGCCAGAGCACACTTGTAAGATTTTTCATATGGAGCATGTAGTAGAACGCCGAAGGCCAATATGTATCTGCAAATTTGTGGAATCGAACATCACGTCTCTAGCATCTGTTTTCTTCGGATATGACTCCATCAATATATCTAATACACCGATATAAACATTCAAAGATGTCCTAAATCTTAAGACTGGATTGATCGAAGTTAGCACGCATAAAGGGAGCTCAGCGCCAACCATCTAGTAAGACGGGTAAACTTCGTACGCCTGCAAAGTGAGAGATCAGCGTGACCGTCGACTCTTCCCAATTTTCGGGGTACCGCAATACCAAAGCATACAGCTATATTCTTAACTAAAGTATGAAAATCGGAGCTTACTGAGACCAGTGGGGTGTGTCGGAAGTAAACTAAGCCGGTGTGCCTGCAGTGAGGCGTCATGGAAAATTGCACCCGATCGCCATAACTGGCATGAACGATTATAACTGAGGTCTAAGTTTATAATGTCTCGCATAGCGCGGTAGGCGCATCGGTCATCAAAGGATGAGAAGAGCAGAACTAGGATGGGTTGGAATCAATGATTAGAGTAAAAAGAGAAACAGGGGCAAACTCTAACAGTCTAACTATGACGAAGGTGGCAGTGACATCCCGGAGAGAGAAAAGCCGGGAAGAACCAAGGGACGGCTGTGGCTGGATCAGGAACTCAAGGTCTACTCCAGTATCGGAGGATTTTCTCAGGGGTCCCGCCGGGGTTTTCCCTTGCTCGGAGAACATCCACCACATCAAAATGCGGAGTAACGATGAGGGGGAAAGTGCACGGCCGACGTCAGAGTTTCGCTTGGGTGGATCTGCAAAGGCTAGGCGGCTGACTAGCCCGATAGTCCAGCACATACCCTGAGGGTTCAAGACAATGGATTGGCCATCTGTTGAGAAAACTGAATTTTATCTCACAATATCTTCCATAGATATGAGTTCGGTATCACTATCGACTCCGCACTGGTAAAGCGCAGGCACAAAACTTGTCAGTTGTTTGGACATTGCGACGAAGTTGAGGCGACATGTCTGAGACATCAACCTTTGCTAACGGGGACTATGAACCGAGCTTTGATGCGCCAAACTTTCTGTAGAACTGAAGAATGGGTGGATCGGCATGTCGTACGATCGGTTAAGGGACCTAAAATTGGAGAGCCGGGGAATTCTGGGGTTAGCCGTCGGGATTATTTCGGTACGACACAGACTCACTGTCTACTTGGATCTCAGCGTGGGTGCGGCTAAAAAAGATGGCACAGATGGTGGAGTGAGCAACTGGAGGGACTCGGAGAACGCGGAGGAGAGAGGTTCCAAGACATCGTGGCAGGGTAGTGCATGCCCCGTGCAGTCACGCTTTTCCTCCTCCTTCTGTCTTCTCCTCCACATTCCACATTCCACATTCCACCTCCACTCTCCTCCACTGTTCCACTCTTCCACTGGCATCGTCCCTCTTCCTCGATTTCTTGGCTTCTCGGTTGATTGTCTTCGACTTCGTTGTAATGACCCCACCGCATCCGCTGCTGCCTTGGTTGTTTACTGCCCCCGGTTAATTTCATGAAGTCCGATCTTAAAAGGCCTCGTATCCTCCGTTCGCAACAATGACACCAGGCTCAGCTTCCTCCAGACAGCCGGCAACATGGTGGCTTTCTCAGCTCTTTCGGGCGTCAGCGCTCTTTCTTTACTGCTTTGCCTCGTTCAACATGCACATGGAGTTTCCTTGAAGGTCTCCACCCAGGGTGGCAACTCATCCAGCCCCATCCTGTATGGATTCATGTTTGAGGTAGGCCGCAGAAACGGGGTCCATTGATAATTCATTCTCTAACGATGGTTTAGGATATCAATCACTCAGGAGACGGAGGAATTTACGGGCAATTGCTGCAGAACCCTGGCCTTCAGGGAACGACACCCAACCTGACTGCTTGGGCGGCTGTCGGTGATGCTACCATCGCGATTGATGGTGACAGTCCATTGACTTCTGCCATTCCCAGCACTATAAAGCTGGATGTTGCGGATGATGCTACCGGTGCGGTGGGTCTCACCAATGAGGGATATTGGGGCATCCCAGTCGACGGCAGCGAATTCCAGAGTTCCTTCTGGATAAAGGGAGATTACTCGGGCGACATCACCGTCCGACTGGTTGGAAACTATACCGGCACGGAGTACGGCTCTGCCACTATCACCCATACGTCCACAGCAGACAACTTCACCCAAGCCTCCGTCAAGTTCCCCACCACCAAGGCTCCAGATGGCAACGTCTTGTACGAGCTCACAGTGGATGGAAGCGTGGCTGCTGGTTCGTCTTTGAACTTCGGATACCTGACGCTTTTTGGCGAGACTTATAACTCAAGGTTTGCATGTCTATATCCTGAAGAGTGACATAGGGGCTGATTGTGTAGGGAAAATGGCCTGAAGCCCCAGCTGGCCAATGTGTTGGCTGATATGAAAGGATCTTTCCTGAGGTTTCCCGGCGGCAACAACCTGTAAGTCCCAGCTCATCTAGCAAGGATAGCGGCGCTCACCAGAGACAGTGAGGGAAACAGCGCAGAAAACCGCTGGAAGTGGAACGAGACAATCGGCGATCTCTGGGATCGTCCCGGCCGTGAAGGTATGTCTTAACATCAGGAGCGAAACATTCATTCCTGACGGTAAATAGGCACTTGGACTTACTATAACACCGATGGCCTTGGTAAGTACAAATATATGCAACTACCTAACTACGGTACTAACGCTTGTAGGCCTCCATGAATACTTTTACTGGTGTGAGGATTTGGGACTCGTGCCGGTGCTCGGTGTCTGGGATGGGTTCGCTCTGGAGTCGGGTGGCAACACCCCAATCACAGGCGACGCACTGACCCCTTATATCGATGATGTTCTAAACGAACTTGAAGTATGTTGAGCAACAAATCCCATTGGTAGCTGAGGTTAACCCTACGGTAGTACATCTTGGGTGATACAAGCACGACCTACGGAGCATGGCGCGCTGCCAATGGACAAGAGGAGCCGTGGAACCTTACCATGGTCGAGATTGGCAATGAAGATATGCTGGGAGGCGGATGCGAGTCCTACGCCGAACGGTTTACTGCCTTCTATGATGCGATCCATGCGGCTTACCCGGATCTCATCCTTATTGCCAGCACCAGCGAGGCGGATTGCTTGCCCGAGTCGATGCCCGAGGGTAGCTGGGTCGACTACCACGACTACAGCACGCCCGATGGACTGGTGGGCCAGTTCAACTATTTCGACAACCTGGACCGCTCTGTGCCATACTTCATCGGCGAGTATTCGCGCTGGGAGATCGACTGGCCCAACATGAAGGGGTCGGTTTCCGAGGCTGTTTTCATGATCGGGTTCGAGAGGAACAGCGATGTGGTCAAGATGGCGGCGTATGCGCCATTGCTCCAGCTGGTGAACTCGACTCAGTGGACGGTAAGTCACTGTTGCGCAGCGGTATTCGACGGCATGGATGAGCTAACGAGTGGTAGCCGGACCTGATCGGATACACCCAGTCACCCGATGACATTTTCCTCTCGACCAGCTACTACGTGCAGGAAATGTTCTCGCGCAACCGTGGTGATACCATCAAGGAGGTGACCTCTGACAGCGACTTTGGACCGTTGTACTGGGTTGCGTCGAGCGCCGGCGACTCGTACTACGTGAAGCTGGCCAACTACGGCTCGGACACGCAAGACCTTACCGTGAGCATCCCAGGAACGAGCACAGGCAAGTTGACGGTGCTGGCGGACAATGACCCCGACGCGTACAACTCTGACACCCAGACGCTGGTCACGCCGAGCGAATCGACGGTGCAGGCGAGCAATGGTACCTTTACCTTTAGTTTGCCGGCATGGGCGGTGGCTGTCCTGGCTGCGAACTAGCGTTGACTGGTGCTTGCATGGGCGGCAAGTCGAAAATTATCTGCAGGTGTGATGTCATGTATTGCAGTATCCTGATTCACGGTAGGGAAAACTTAGTGATGAAGCGATGATAGATCCATGTTATATACCTGCCTGTATATAGGGCATTGTCCAATGAAAGGCAACGCCACCACACGTGGCGATACACATAACACCTTAGTACTATACTTACTATGCTAATAGGCAGGGAGGAGTAGCACAGGACGACTGTGTGTCTCTGTGTGACTGACTGCTATGTAGCGGTCGGTCGGGGAGGAAATTTGAACACCGCCAACGAAGAGAAAGAAGCACCCAATCCCCGAACGTGTACTTCCGGATCACTTTATGCTTACTTCCTGTCATGGCCTCCTAACGACACATTGAACCAAACAATCAATGGATACGATAAAAACAAGGCACAGGTAAGCGAAGGAGAAAACAAGCGGATTGGTTGGTTGTGACTGGATGCAAACGGGCGGCCTTTTCTCCACTCGAACTGGGCAGAAGCGAAGACCGTGCGCCGAGACGGGTTCGGGCGCCTTCCGTCTGCAGCTCCCCTCACTTTTTCTCTTTTACAACTGCTATTTCCCTCCACTTCTCCTTTTGCAATACTGTAAGTTAATTATGATTTGACAAGTGCTGACTACTACCATCTCATACAGGGATAGTACTAGTAGTAGTACTGTCTGCTGGACCTCAAGTCCACCAAACATTGTCTGGTGGTTCCCATCCCGAGATGTCATCATGGAAAGACACTACTGCATTCTACTTACATTATAGAAATCTCCCCACCCGGCCTGCCATTCGCTGCGGCGGCCCACTCCGCGATAAGGAAATCTGAAGTTTTTTGCTTTAGTTGCTTTTTAGTTTCGCCCTCGCGGTCTGGCCTCGTTGGCCTGCTTTAAATCTCCTCTCATCCCAGCGTCCCGTTTCTGCTTTCTTTCTCTTTTTTTTCTTCTTTGCGCCCCTTGGTCCTGGCAGTGAACGACTTCGGAGCTTTGCGTTCACATTTGCTGGCGAAAAGCTCCATTGGATACCCTCTTTCGCATTTCCTGTTTCTGTTTTTGAGTTCCCGTGCGCTCGTCGCATTCTGCAGCTTCCCCGCCATGTCTGCCGATAATGAAAAGTCCACGGCTGTCGCCGACGTGCAGCCTCAACCCCAATATTCCACGGAAAAGACAGAGCAGGTGCATACTGTGACCGAGTCGTCGGAGCAGACCGGTCAATCGCAAGACCAGGAAGCTCAGCAGGAGCAGCAGCCAACCCAAAGTCGCGCGGCCAGGCTGTTTGCCTACATGAAGACCCGCGACTTCTGGTTGGTTTTGATTCTAGGGTGAGTGCATATCTTGTCAAAAAATCACTTCAAAGAGCGGCCAAAGACTAATCTAGAACAGTCAAATCATCGCGCTGGCCGATATCAGCTCCTCTACCTTTTCCTCCCTCCTCTCCAACGCTGGCAACAGTATCCCCGCCTTCCAGACCCTCTGGAACTACATCCTGCTCAACCTCGTCTACACCAGCATTACCATCT